GAGCACCTGCACCGGGCCGGCGTGGTGCACAGGTGAGCGGGCGGGCGGGCCGCGAGTGTAACCTCCGTCGGAGTGTGTCCCAGGGAGTCGTCCTGTGCGTTGGGTTAATGCCAGCGCGAGGCTGTGCGGGGCGTCTGAAGGCAGAGGGCCGGCGTTTGCATCCCGGCTCTGCCCGTTAGTGGTGTGGGGCCCTGGCTTACGTGACGTGACCACTCGGACCCTCGGTCTCTTCTTCTGTGAAAGGGGAATAATGATGGTGCTCACCGCGTGGTGGGCGATGAGTGAATATGTGGGTAAAGCTCGGAACGGTGTTTGGTGCATAGTGAGCGACGTGTAAGTGTTGGTTGCTGGTCTTATTATTTGTAAAATACCGAGACCCGCGGCTCGCGGCCTGAGGAGGCCTCGGGGTGAAGATGGCAGGAGGCCGCGCTCCAGCGTGCAGGCCGGTGCCAGCGTGGCATTTGCTGTGTGTGTGGTAGTGGCTCAGCCGCTGTTTCCTTCGGTGACATCACCTCACCGCTGGAATTGGGAACGTGCTCTGGAAAGCGTGGTGCTCCTGCACCAGCCAACCTGGCACGTCGTGATGAAAACCCGACGTTGGAAAGCAGGCTCTTTCCTCTGGGGAGTTCCACAGCAAAGGGAGGGAGCTGTCCCAGACGTGGCCGCCGCCGTGCCTGCTTCTGGTGCTGCTGCAAGGACGTTAGAAGGAGACGTGCCCGGCCCTGGCTTCTCACTCAGTCCCCCGTCCGCGAGGCGCTCCCGTGTTGTAGGGCGTCGGGGCTCCATTCCTTCTCATGGCTGCGTAGTGTTCCATCGTATGGACGTGCCGCCGTCTGTCCATCACCAGTTCATGGGCACCTGGGCTGTTTCCACCTTCAGCTGCTGTGAATATGCTGCTACGAACATTCGTGTACTAGTGGTTGTGTGAGCATTCATGTACTGGTTTTTGTGTGGACATTCGTGTATTAGTGTGGACATTCGTGTACTAGTGTGGACATTCGTGTACTGGTTTTCGTGTGAACATATGTTTTCTGCGCTCTGGGCAGTGCTGGGTCACTCGGCAGCTCTGGGTTGAACCTTTGAGGAAACAGCTTTAAACCCGGCTTCTCCTGGTGCCTGTGATCTGTGTGGAGGCCAAGCACAGTCTGACTCGTGCAGAAAGTGGCTCTGGGTCTTTAATAACCAGACCTGTCGGCTTCGTGGTGACAGCGCCATCTCCTTTCCAGTGGGATGGGCCCCTCGCTGCTCCCCGTCCCGGAGTCCTGGGGCCCCCGGTGCCCTCCAGGCGGTCACTTCCTCACCGAGGGACAGAACGTCTCCTCGGACCTATTTTTAGTCCCGCGCTGTCACGCAGTCTGCTCGTGAGGGCTCTGCGTGGAGATCAGCAGGGAAGGGGCCATTCAGAAATTTCGAGTGGGTGGCGCTATTTCTGGCTCTTTGCAGCGACACTCATGTGGCCTGCCACGTGCGAGCTCCGCGGTCAGGAACGCGATGGTCGTAGGTGTGCCAGCGTCTTTGCTTATTAGGACGACCAAGGTGGGAGCCCAGGTGGGTCAGCTTGGATTTCCAACTCCAGGGGTCACGGTGAGGTCAGCGCCGGCCGCAGGGCTGGGGGTGTGGTCACAGGGCTCGTGCTGTCAAACCCCACATGCCCAGCTTCGGGGTTTTGGGGACAAGGCGACTCGGTAACGGCCATGCCGTGGTCCCTCCCAAAGGATATGCCACATGTCAGAGGAGTGGA